TTCATTATTTATAAGATATTGGCAAGAGACGTTAAACACTTCTACCTTCTTTTCTTTCTTGCTTTCATTTTCTCGCTGAAACTAAGTAGGGTCTTTTCCTCTCCTTCCACGCGATCAAAACGGAATAGTCCATTATTAATGAGGCATTGCGTAACGGTCGTGTTAACGAAAGGAGGACCGAGCATAATTATAATAGGATTATTATTATTATTATTATTATTATTATTATTATTATTATTATTATTATATTAGAATTTACTTGATTAGGTGATAAATAAACATTGGTCATTTATATTTGTGTCCGTAAGCAGGAGGCACTGTGGACTAATGGATAGCGGCTCGGATTCACTTACGTGCTAATACACTTGGGGAATGTATGAATCCTCTTCTTCCACCCACCCCCCAGCTATGGATAAATAGCAGGACAGAGCGGGTTCTATAGCCTAGGAAGGCAACTGGTCTACCGAAGAAAGAAATGGCAACCTACTGCGCGAAAAATCTGCATCGTCAGCCATGTATCGAAAGATACATGATCGTCTAATCGTGTATCATGCATGACACATAAATGACTGAAGCATTTACTTTGTTGGAGAATCTCTTTCCTCTGCAGTCGATGTATTATAAAAATAATAATTTGTTATAAAAATAAGTTTATACTAGTAATGTTTGATAAGAATACGTGACTAAATTTTTCATACGTAAAATAATTGTTTATTCGCTTCTGCGCTTCGTCAAATTAAAGTCGACCAATCAAATGTATGTGTTTTCGGGTCTTAATTCGAACGCTCGATCTTCTTGCAAGAATGCGAGAGATTCTAACCTCTCCCTTCGTAAATCGGACGTCTATACGCCTTCCTGTCACCCTCTTGTGTATGTTCCTCCTAAGTTCATCTGGGTTTACTTCCAGTTTATGTTGCTACATCCAATGCTCGATTTTGCACTTGGTGGCTAGGAGGACACTTTTTATGCTAACCGTCAAGTCACCAAGGTTTTTTTTCTTTCTTATGTTGCTGACTAATTTGTTTTGTTTATTTTTTTTATTTGTTTTTTTGTTTTTTGTTTTTTGTTTTTTTGTTTTGTTTGTGGTTTATCTACCTTCGATGTGTTATTTAAAGCCGAAACAAATTCCAGATTGTAAGAGGTTGCTTACAGCACCCGATGTTCCTAAGCGGTTCCCTACCTAAGTACTGACCGGGATCGGTGATGCTTAATTACGGTAATCAAACAAGAACCAGGTGTTTTTTGTATTTTTTACCGTTGGCTATTTTCTGGGGTGACACCGTTTACAAAAATCACTTTGGTATCTTGTAGGGTAAACCCAATACATATTGTGGTCACTACGGATCAATTCTTATTAGATAAAATGTTCCTGATGCACATTGAATTCGAGTCAACCTTTCAGTATTTCCTGGGGTGGATTACATACAACACTAGGCTCTGACAATAGTGAAGAAAGAGTTGTAATCTGATCTGAATTTTGTAAAGACAGAACATGACAGCAGAAGTAAATTATCCCCCCCCCTCAGAAAATATCTAACTCCTGCTGCCATGGTCTATCTTTACAAGCGGACAAGAATACAGTATTGCTGCCATATCTAGACTGTTGCTTCCCAGTCCTCACCGGCCAGTCTTGATTGTTCAAAATCAATTATGTGATTTTGTGTTTGATGAACTATCTTCCACCCTGCAACCCCTTGCCCCACAAACAAAACGCTGCTAGCCTCTAACTACCCTATCCCTATTACAATGGTAGATGTCCAAATGAGCTACATTCTTTAGTTTAACCAGTTCAGACCTTCACAGCTATGACCCACCAATGCCATATTTACGACATCAAATCATCTCCAGTTTCTTCGTATTCTTTCTGCAAGAAGTAAGTACCAATCAGACGGCTTCTTCCCAAAGAACTGTTACTCTGTGAAATAGACTCCCGATAGGATACTTTCCTGGTCACTACAATGTTAAACTTTTCAAGGCTAGGGTCAACTGATATCGATCCTACATATTCTCATAATATCATAACCCAGCCTCCAACCTTTCTCTCACAGGCGGGATATGGCAAGCCTTTCGCTGCTCTATCGCTACTCCCACAGAAAGTGATCGGACGAACGAAATTCCTTGGTTCCGTCAGTTTTAACTTTCAAAGTGGGGAACCCATCGGTTCTAGGACAGTTAGTTGCGTCCATGGACATTCTAGACAAATATGTCTTTGGATAATTGCGTACCTCTGATAATTTTTGTTTCTTTTAAAGACAATTACTATAAAATTTGAAAAAAGCGTAGGTAGTAATCATAAATTTTTAAGAGAGGAATAAAAGAAATAAAATAAAATAATTAAAAGTTTATTATTGTTTAAAATGCAATGACAGATTAACAGATCGCTCTACACATCACCAGTATGTTTTTGATTCATCAATGTTTTCATTATGATTAGTAGTAGCAATAATTTTCCTCGTTCACAAATATTTTACCACCAGTGTTGGATTTTCGAAACTTAGCCATGGGTTCCAAATAAGAATATAATCTATAAAATCCAGAATCTATTAAATGTTTGTGGTACGCACTGCTAGAGTGAACGGAAACTGCTAGCTTAATTTTCTCTTGCTTAAAAAAGAATTTTTTTCTCTCTTTTATTATTTATGGTAACTACCTTTCTGCTTGTTTAAAGTAATTAAAGGTATTGGTGTGCAAATTTCTATATTAAACAACTCTTTTAAAAAAATTATAACTTCAAAAAATTATCAGAGGTACGCAATTATCGAAGAACGCATTTGTCGAGGGATGCAAATGTCCAGGGACGTAATTGTCTGTTACGCAATTTTCCGGTCGAGGTACCTCGGAGGAGAGGTCGTTCAAGTTTGGCACCATGCATGACAGCCATATAAAAGTCTCGATCTGACGAGGCTATTTAAGAATATGACTCGAGTTTGTAGGCTAATATTTTGGTTCAGTAGAAATTTGCAGTATGGAGCGAAACTATCCGCAGCCTAGATAATTCTGTTTTCAGTTACTTTATCTCCTATACTAAATTTGTTATAACTGATCCATACCCTGAGGTGGCTTGTATTTACTAATTCCAGATCCTGTATTTTCATGATGGATGGTAGGCGCCATCACTGTTTCATTCCAATGCTAGATCATAGTTTCTGTCTTGTAATCTTTTACCTTGAGTCGTATTACTTTGAGCATTTAATGAAGGATATTGATGTTTTTTGTTCAAGATTATTTTTGTCCGAACTATGAATACCTATGTCATCAGCATAACCACCCCCCTTATCATCAGTATAGTAGCCTCGAGAAGGAGAGCAAAAATGCTGTTTTCTATTATTTCTTTAGAAGCCGTTCATTCGTTTAAGTATTCCATACTTTAATGCTTAAATGGTGTCCATCTCTTCAAATATGTGTTTGTATAGGATATAGTCTAGAAAAAACATTAAATAGACTAGGGCTCTCGTTATCTCCTTATCGTACTCTGGGTGAGGTTTGATATGTTTCCGTATTGGGGTCCTTGCCAGACTTGTATGATTTTGCGGGCTGATATAGTTTCTGAACTAAATACTTACACTTAAAACATAATAACTGTGATGTAACATGCGCAGAAACCTTCGTTCTGTCTTCCCGAGATGTTGAAGTAGCGACGAGAAAAGGTCAAAATGACCGCAGGTGAAACAGGCAGAGTGCAGTATAGAATTTCAGTATTTTCTCACGGACATCAGGTCATCAGAATTTTAACCTATTTTCATAAATTCATTTCTGATACACCACCTTTTTATTAGAAAGAAAGAAAGAAAGAAGGAAAGAAATAAAAAAGAAAGAAAGAAAGGAAATAAGGAAGTGGAAAATTAAGGTGAGCTGAAGAAAGAAACAAATAGAAACAGAGATAAAAAAAGAAAGAAGACAGAAATGCAATATAAAATGGAGACTGAACATAATAAAGAAAGAAAGAACAACAAAGATGAAAGAATATTTTACAATATAAAATGGAGAAAAAGAAAGAAAGAAAGAAGATAAAAAAGAAGGGGAAAGAAATGCCATATAAAAATGGAGACAGAAAAAAGGAAGAACAACAAAAATGGAAAAGAATAAAGAAAGTTTAGAGAAATACAATATAAAATTGGAAATCTTTCATAAGAAATAAAGAAAATGAATGAAAGAGAATAAAGGCAAAAGAAATGCCATACAAAAAAAAAGAAAGAAAGAAATAGAATAAAGGGAAAAGAAATACCGTAAACAAAATGAACATGAAAAAGAAAGTTTACAGAAATATAATATAAAATTGGAAATCTTTCATAAGAAAGAAAATCAAAGAAAGAAAAAAAGAAAGAAAGAAAGAAAGAGAATAAAGGCAAAAGAAATACCGTATAAAAATGGAGAAAGAAAGAAAGAAAAAAAGGAAATAAGAAAATAATAAAAGGTAAGATAATGCATGAAAAATAAAGAAACACATTTTAAGTGACGATAATACGGAACAGATAGAAAGAAAGAAAGAAAGAAAGAAAGAAAGGAAGAAAGAAAGAAAGAAAGAAAGAAAGAAAATATTTTCATTAACTCCAGTAAAACAAGAGATTACAAATTGTAGGCATTTCTGATATGGCTGCTTTGAAAACTCGTCTTCATAAACGACATGGGATAAAAAGATATACTTTCTATTTACTTATTCAATTTTAGTGTTAAGCAAAAGTAATTAAAACAAGTGAAAATGACGACTTGATGCAAATAGAAACCCAAACAATTTGTTAGCGAATAGGCAGACGATAAATAAATCACAAAATGTAAATGTCATCAAACACGTAGAAGCAGTAGTGTTAAAAGGAAAGTCTGACGAGCAACTTCTTGTCTCAATGACGTCAGACTAGCGATTTAGCAAAGGCGTTAAGAAACAACAACAAAAAAGAAAAGCAGTGGTTGAAGGGAGAGGATTGTGCTTGCTGAAGGTGTTGGATGGATTTACAGAGTAGCTTCCGTCTACATGACGTCAGCAACGATGAAATAATATTTCGTTAAAACTCGACCAGGAGTCTAATCGTGTGTGAATGCGAGACGGTTGTAAAGGAAGATAACGGGTGCACTTTGAGAGAAAACAACTTTGAAAAAAAGATATTAACAGAATTAGATAGATAGATAGATAGATAGATAGATAGATAGATAGATAGATAGATAGATAGATAGATAGGAACAGACATAGACGGTTGTAAAGGAAGATAACGGGTGCACTTTGAGAGAAAATAACTTTGAAAAAAAGATATTAACAGAATTAGATAGATAGATAGATAGATAGATAGATAGATAGATAGATAGATAGATAGATAGATAGATAGATAGGAACAGACATAGACGGTTGCAAAGGAAGATAACGTATGTACTTTGGGAGAAAATAACTTTGAAAAATAGATATTAACAGAATTAGATAGATAGATAGATAGATAGATAGATAGATAGATAGATAGATAGATATGAACAGACATAGACGGTTGTAAAGGAAGATAACGTATGTACTTTGGGAGAAATAACTTTGAAAAATAGATATATAAACAGAATTAGATAGATAGATAGATAGATAGATAGATAGATAGATAGATAGATAGATAGATAGATAGATAGATAGATATGAACAGACATAGACGGTTGTAAAGGAAGATAACGTGTGTACTTTGGGAGAAATAACTTTGAAAAATAGATATATAAACAGAATTAGATAGATAGATAGATAGATAGATAGATATGAACAGACATAGACGGTTGTAAAGGAAGATAACGTGTGTACTTTGGGAGAGATAACTTTGAAAAATAGATATATAAACAGAATTAGATAGATAGATAGATAGATAGATAGATAGATAGATATGAACAGACATAGACGGTTGTAAAGGAAGATAACGTGTGTACTTTGGGAGAAATAACTTTGAAAAATAGATATATAAACAGAATTAGATAGATAGATAGATAGATAGATAGATAGATATGAACAGACATAGACGGTTGTAAAGGAAGATAACGTGTGTACTTTGGGAGAAATAACTTTGAAAAATAGATATATAAACAGAATTAGATAGATAGATAGATAGATAGATAGATAGATAGATATGAACAGACATAGACGGTTGTAAAGGAAGATAACGTGTACTTTGGGAGAGATAACTTTGAAAAATAGATATATAAACAGAATTAGATAGATAGATAGATAGATAGATAGATAGATATAGATATGAACAGACATAGACGGTTGTAAAGGAAGATAACGTGTACTTTGGGGAGAGATAACTTTGAAAAATAGATATATAAACAGAATTAGATAGATAGATAGATAGATAGATAGATAGATAGATATGAACAGACATAGACGGTTGTAAAGGAAGATAACGTGTGTACTTTGGGAGAAATAACTTTGAAAAAATAGATATATAAACAGAATTAGATAGATAGATAGATAGATAGATAGATAGATAGATAGATAGATAGATAGATAGATATGAACAGACATAGACGGTTGTAAAGGAAGATAACGTGTGTACTTTGGGAGAAATAACTTTGAAAAATAGATATATAAACAGAATTAGATAGATAGATAGATAGATAGATAGATAGATAGATAGATAGATAGATAGATAGATACAGACATAGACGGTTGTAAAGGAAGATAACGTGTGTACTTTGGGAGAAATAACTTTGAAAAATAGATATATAAACAGAATTAGATAGATAGATAGATAGATAGATAGATAGATAGATAGATAGATAGATATGAACAGACATAGACGGTTGTAAAGGAAGATAACGTGTGTACTTTGGGAGAAATAACTTTGAAAAATAGATATATAAACAGAATTAGATAGATAGATAGATAGATAGATAGATAGATAGATAGATAGATAGATAGATAGATAGATAGATAGATAGATACGAGGGTGGGCTGAAGATTTCATATACTATGAAGGAGTGATGCGAGAAATGTGAAATATTGCATGCATTAATTTCAACTCTTTTTATTAATAGCTGCATTGTTTCGTTCCAGGTAAACTGACATCTGACTGTTCAAAGAAAACATCAACCACTTTGTCAAAAAAAAGTCATCAACAGCAGTTATGACGTCATCATCCCAGTCAAGTGTTTTTTCATGTTATGATACAGTCAAATCCAGAGAATAGGCACGGTGACCAACCAGTTCAAAGCCATAATCACGCACAGCTGCCATTGAAACCAAGGACTTGTGGGCTGGAGCATTGCCCTTGTGAAACAAGACCCTCCTTCGTTAGTTTTCCTGAGTGTTTGGTCTTGATAGCCTTTCGTAAGTTCAGTGGAAATGTGGCTCTTTTGAAGAGATCCAATTAACGCAAAGTCATTTACACCCAAAAAAGACTGACGCCATAAACTTCCCTGCAGAGGAAACAACCATAACCTTCTTTGGAGCAAGTGAGGGGTGTTTCCACTGCATGAATTGTCTCTGTCTCTGGCTCAAAGTGATGAGCTTAAGATTCATCTTGAGTTAGAAAACGTTCAAGGAAATCACCTGGATCCGCCTCAAATAATGCCAAATTTTCCCGTAATGTGATCAGTCTGGTGCGCTTTTGATCAGGTGTGAAAAGACGAGCAGCAACCTTCGTCATGCCAAGTTCATTGTACAGAATATTCTCAACTTTCTCACGGGATATCCTAATAGCACTGGCTATTTGATTTACAGTCAATTGCCTGTCATCCATCAACATGTGAACACGATCAATATTTTCCTGGAAGTCCAGGCCTTGTGTTATCTTTTAAATTCAACTTCCCACTTTTGCACTGTTGATAAAGCTGGGTCATCCTCCCCTAATGTAGCAATCGTGTCAGTAAGAATGTCCTTTGCGACTAAAAGCCTTTTTTGCAGGTACTTGATAACACCACAAGGTAAAACTTTGTACATTTTCAAGAGAGGAAGCTACTAGTTAATTTTGAAGTATTATTTGAACAGTTAAATGTCAGTTTACATGTCAAAAAACAATGGAGTTATTAATAAGAAGAACTGAATTTAATGCATGCATGATTTCACAGCTCTAGCGTCAATCCTTCAGTCAGACTATGAACTTTTCAGACCACCAGATAGATAGATAGATAGATAGATAGATAGATAGATAGATATGAACAGACTGGGATAGATAGGTAGATAGATAGACAGACAGACAGACAGACATTGTTTGTTTCTGGTGCATATACTATAATTATTGCATGATATTACACATTCTCTCCATATTTTTTAAACTTAAAAGTTAGGATTATATAATATACACGAGTTATATGCCATATTCGGGATTGCATGACTGAATGTAATTTATATCTATGGTTCAAACCATGATAATGGTAATGGTGTTATTAACAGTTTCCTTATAAGGGAAAATTTGCCATTCATTGAGCGAGCATTCAGTGGTTTGAAATTTATGAAATCTTTCTCTTAAAACAATTTATCAAGAAAATAAGTTTCTCAAGTCCACTAACTGTTATCGATCTTTCCAGTATTGATGGCAGCTTCCTTCCTAATGTTTTGTTTGAACTCAAGTGAAACTTCAACATCTTGATTATGTCATTATTTTCTCTTCGAGTCACATAGGTTATCCATTTTTAGTTGTTGTTGAAATTCTTTAACTGATGTGGTTTCGGTTATTTGGTTCAGTTCTTTGTGATTCTGTAGTGCCAGCCCGCAAAGCTCGAGGAAATATGATCTTCTCTAAGACCTATGGCTTTCATCCACTGAAAGTCATTCTTAAACATTGATCTTAGAAAGCCCTTTCATGCAACTGACAGTTTATATATTTCTGTACGAGTTTGGTGCCAGGCATGACATCCATATGAAAGTCTCGATCTGACGTGGCTGTTTAAGAACATAATTCGAGTGTTTAGCTTAATGTTTCGTGTTTTAGCAACTCACGTTATTGGGCGAAACCTCACCCAACGCAGCCTGTTATGTGTTCAATTTCCATATTTCTTACACTAATATACAGTAACTAATCTATACACCGAAGTATTTGAAGTGTCTAGTATTTGCTAATTCCATATCTTTATTTTTTATGACGGATTCAGGGTAGATCAAATCATTTCTCTCATTCCAATTCCCGGTCCTGGGCATGACGATAAACTACATCAGGCAGCAAGGCATCTGATCGGGAGGCTATGAGGAGTGTGAAACCACCTCTTAATTACTGTTGTTCCCAGGTCGGTACTACCTGTTATGGTCTCAGCTATGGGCAAATAGTGAACCCTTAAACTGAGTCAAAACATTAAAATATAAAAATATATTAGAAAAAATTACCAGCAATATATTTTCATAGTAAGAAACATTAAAAAAAAATTTTAAATTACTAGCAATACATTTCGGGGAAAAAATTACCAAAACACACAAGAAAATAAAATTTCGACATTAAATGACCCATAAGGCGTTGTTGTGCCGTTAAACAAACAAACCAAACCATTCTAATTTCAGATCATAGTTTCTGTTTTGGAAAGGTTTATCTTGGTGTATATTACTTGGAACATTTTTGCAAGGGAAGTTGATATTTTTAAAATTAATATGTAATAAAGATTTTAAATCACAAACCAAAAATTTCACTTTTTCAAAAAATATATATTCACATAGACAGTAAATATATTTAATCCGCTTCATTGCTGTCCGTGCCAAAGATTGAATTTAGCGGGGTAATCGATAAGCGGAATAGTGTAATGGCTGACTGCCGATGACGAATATATGGTAGAAGTGTTTTCGGTACTTTTAGATGCTGCACGGTGTCGTAGTAGTAATGTCCCCTTCCGTTTTACGCCACTACAGAGAAATTGTCAATACATGTTTATAATCTTGTATCTCCTAGCGTCCGCTTATTTTCGCCTCGGGCTTGTTGCATTTTTGTCCGTCCGTTTGCTATAAATAATGAGTACTTTGTTTCAAAACATAATATCCTCTTCATAAATTCGCCGTTTCTCTTCAGGACGATCATGGCTCTTCACAACTTCTAATCCTTTGTAGCTCTCAGTAACCCTTTTTACCATCCCCCCCACACCCGTTCCACCATCCATTTGCACAGATAGATAGCCCACTGCCTCCTCCTTGTCCCGGTCGATAAAGCTGTTGACTCGTACGTGTTTACTGAGAGTGTAAAAAACAGAAAACTTTATTGAGGAAAGAGAAGAATAAAAAAAAATAAGATTCAAATTTGAGATAAGAAATTATTTGAATAGAACTTACTGTTGCGTGTAGCAATTTTAATAGTAAGATGATGAGACCTAACTGCCAATCTAGTACTACGCTTAAATGTGTGAAGGGTACCAAAGAGGAAAAAATCATATAAAGAATTGCTATGAAAATATTTATAGAAAACCACAGAGAAACTACGTTAAGGCGCTGCGAAAGTGACTGAAGCCGAGATGCTAGATCAGGACTGATATCATTACAGATTCTTGTTTGGATTTTACAAGAACCTCTAGAAGAAGCACCGAACCAGATCTG